CACATTTGTCTGTTCCATCTCTAGACTTTTTTAAAAAAATCTCTTTTCACTTTTCACCAGCCTTATTATTTTTTTTTCTCTTTCCTATTTCCCATTTGTGGCCTTTACCTTTTCTGTCATACGGGGCCAGAGAGGACTCATGAGTCTTTCTGTAGCCTTGTTCTAACTCCTTTTTGTTTCTCTTAAAGCATAAGAATATTTCCCTGAATGGAGTCCCAGCTACCACAGCCACATACTGTCTTTATCTCTGGCTGTATCAGGGTAATGCTAGGCCCTTCTCTGAAACTAGTCTTCCATTTTTGGGGACATGAAGCTGGCTCAGCTGAGGCCATGACCACTGGGCCAGGAGAAGTCAGAACATAGGGGCCCTTATATGGCACTTTCAAGTTGAAGCCTTAGGAAAGAGTCCAGAAATTTATAGAGTGAGGAATAGGATCACATATCAGAGAGTGGAGTTACTTTCTCTTACCTACATAAAAACCATTGAAGGAGCCTGTCAGAATGGCATGCTTCTGTAATTCCAGCACTCAGAGGCTAAGGCAGGAGAATGTTCAGTTTTACCCGGGCAACTTAGAACTTGTCTAAGTAAAAAGTTAATAAAACTTGTAAAAGTAAAAAGTTAATAAAAATCTGGGAGGTAGTTCAGTGGTGAAATATCCCAGAGTGTAATTTTCTAGTGCTACAAAATAAAGCAAAACAAAACAACCAATAAGAGATTCCCAGCCAGCATAGTGGAGCTTCTGTTTCCATCAGGAATGAGGTATTCTGGTAGTTTGATTTTTTTCCATAACCACCAATGCATTTTCTGTTTATAGGATACTGGCACCTCTTAGCCACAAAGACCTTGAAGTCTGTAGTGTGGAGACTTCTTCATACCACCACCATTGCATAGAATCTCTAAAACATTTAGTCCGATGGTCACTTACACCCGTCTTCCTTGGCCACTGGGTAAAATAGCAGCCCCTTGTCAACAGTCTTTTATTTTTATTTTTCTTGCTACTGGGAAATGAATCCTATTATTTTATATTATGTTATTTTATACTATACTACTTCACCAGGTCTTTTTTATTTTTGAGACTGGATCTCACTAAATTACCCAGCCTTTGGTTGAACTTGTGATCCTTCTCCATGAGCCTTCAGAGTGGTGGGATTTTAGGTGTGTGCGACCATGCCCAACTTTACTGTCCTTTTGTGATATGTCTTGTGCAGACTTTGGCTTCCTGTAATATGACTCCATCTACTGCTCCCCTTTCTTATAACCTTCTCTACTCCTTCCCAGAGCCCATCCTGAATCCAGCCATTCAGAAATAATCAGTAGGAATATAAGGCTGATATTTTGCTCTTTTTGTTCTGTGCATATATGCTTATGTATATATTTTATTTATTTTTTTAAATGTATTTAGTACTGGGCCTTCAAGGTCCCACTACACAGATCAGACTCATCATGATCCTCCTGTTTTCAGCCATCCAAGCCCTGAGATTACAGGCATTTGCCACCATGTGTAGTCTCAATCCATGTCTCAGTGTGCCCCGGGGGCAGGGCCAGCACAGCACACCAGAGATCAAACCCTAGTCCCTGCGCCTGCCTAAGCAGGTGCTTTAGTCTGCTGAGCTATCTGGCTGGGGCTGCTTATGTATCTATTTTAAAATCTATATTATGAACATATTTTGCATTTTTTCCTTGACATATTTTTATACCTATACATAATGTTAGATCATTGTTACCAAATATTCTTAACAAGTAAGATTTTTAATATATTACAAATT